ATTAGGGGAGTGGAACATCTCCCTTATGAGGAAAGGCTGAGGGAGCTGGGTCTCTTTAGCTTGGAGAAAAGGAGACTGAGGGGTGACCTCATCAATGTTTACAAATATGTAAGGGGTGAGTGTCAGGGAGATGGAGTTAGGCTTTTCTCAGTGATGACCAGTGATAGGACAAGGGGTAATGGGTGTAAATTGGAGCATAGGAGGTTCAAGGTGAATATCCGAAAAAATTTTTTTACTGTAAGAGTGACAGAGCACTGGAACAGACTGCCCAGGGAGGTTGTGGAGTCTCCCTCACTGGAGACATTCAAAACCCACCTGGATGAGTTCCTGTGTGATGTACTCTAGGTGACCCTGCTCTGGCAGGGGGGTTGGACTAGATGATCTTTCAAGGTCCCTTCCAGCCCCTAAGATTCTGTGATTCTATGATTCTACATTATCCAGTGTGCATGAAAAACAACAGCTGTACCACCTGCCAGGGCTTCTGCTGATTTTAAGAAGGTCATGATCATCCAACCCAGTTGATTAGCAGGGAGGAAAAATTGTGAAATTCACAGATTAATACTTGTCAGAGGTCTCTGCCAACAGAGAAAACTTAGATCTCTAGTCGGGGCATGCAACCTGCTCTTGGCTCCTCTGGGAATTTCTGACTACTATAACCCTATCTGTGCCAGGTAGGCATTGTCCTTAGGAACTTCTCACACAGATCCACCACCTTTGAACTGCCTCCTCTGGTAACATTATACCTTTGTAATACAACCTCAGGAAAGCTTCTTATTTCCCTTTCCCTTTATTAGAAATATGTTCTCTTTCAGATTAATATTTTCCGTTGAAATGAGTCAGAGATGTAGAGGCAGGGGGGTAGAAGAGCAACTTAAGTGTTTTGGCATCTGTTTTTGCTGTGGCTATTTCTGCTGTAGACATGAAACTGTACAAAAAATCACTGTACTGTTACTGAGAAGTAACCACACAGTCAATATGCAAATCCAACTACTGCAGTAGCCATCAGTGGCCCTGGGCCTCCTGGAAGGGGGAATCTACAACTTTCTGCGGCTATGGAGAAGCAACCATGCAGACATAATGTAAATGGTCTTCCCCAGCCATTCTAAGTGTGAGAAGCTGTACTTCTGAGAAATCAGCAGCCAGTAACGGATGGGTCAGCAGCTATACAGAAACTCTGAGCTTAGATTGATTGTAACAACTTGATTTAAGTATAATTCAAATAGTCTAAACTTGCTGATGATGAAGGAGGAACTGGTCCCATCTGAAACGCCACCTGAAAGCACAGGTTAAACCACACTTGATGGTTTAACTCCATACAATGGAGTTAGCAAGTATCAAAAGCATCAGATCAAGGAAATTCTTCCCTACTGGAAAGAAAATTAAGGACAACAGTGACTCAAATGACCAGCAGGGACTCAGTAAAGGTTGCCAAAAACCAGCAGGTTACAAAAAAACTGAAAGAAACCATAAAATTACTTTTCTGTATTCATAGTTGTCCCATGTTTCTTCAGGGATTCATTTTGATACAGTGCATGTAATTCTCAGTTTTTCACAAGTGCCCCAAGAAGGGTGGAAATTAAACTGCTTTTGCTTGGTGGCTTTGGTTCTCCTTGTTAAAACATTCCTTGTGAATGAATGGCCTCTTCAGGGATCTGCTTGGTAGGGTATCATGGGATGAGATCCTGGATGGGAGAGGAGCCCAAGAAAGCTTGTCAATATTCAAAGATCACTGCCTCCAAGTCCAGGAGCAATGCACCCCAAGAAAGTGGAAAGCAGGCAAGAATGCCAGGAGACCTGCATGGATGAACAAAAAGCTCCTGGACACTCTTAGACAAAAAAAGAAAGTCTTCAGAGGGTGTAAGCAGGGACAGGTACCTTGGGAGAATTACACACAAGTTGTCAAAGAAGCCAGTGATCAGGTTAGGAAAGCTAAAGCCCAGATAGGAGTTAAATCTGGTCAGGGACATCAAGGGTAATCAGAAGGGTTTCTACAGGTACATCAGTGATAAGAGGCAGAAAAGGAAAAATGTGGGCCCTCTCCAGAAGGATACAGGAGACCTTGTCACGCAGGATGTGGAGAAGGCTGAGGTACTGAACGACTTGTTTGCTTCAGTCTTCACCAGTAAGGGCTCTGGCCTCACTGTTCAGGTCACAGAATGGAAAGGCAGAGACTGGGAAATGGAAGATTGCCCCATTGTAGGAGAAGAGCAGGCTCAAGACCATCTAACAAACCTGAAAGTGCAAAAGTCCATGGGACCTCACACAATCCATCTGTGGCTCCTAAGGGACATGGCAGATGAAGTTGCAACTCTGCTTTCCACCATATTTGAAACTTCATGGCAGTTTGATGAAATTCCCACTGACTGGAAAAAGGGGAAACATAGCCCTTATTTTCAAAAAGGGAAAGAAAGAAGACTTATGCTACTAGAGGCCAGTCAGTCTCACCTCTGTGCCTGGCAAGATCATGGAGTAGATCCTCCTGAAGGCTCTGCTAAGGCACATGGAAAATGTGGAGGTGGTTGGTGACAACCAGCATGGCTTCACCAAGGGCAAATCATGCCTTGGAAATTTGGTGGCCTTTTATGATGGGGTCACAGCATCAGTGGACAAGGGAAGAACAAGTAACATAATCTACCTGGACTTGTGCAAAGTGTTTGACACTGTCCTGCATCAAGTCCTGGTTTCAAAATTGGAAGGATATGGATTGACCACTCAGTGGATAAGGAATTGGCTGGATGGTTGCAGACACAGAGTAGCCATCAGTGGTCTGATGTCCAGATGGAGAGCAGTGATGAGTGGCATTCCTCAAGCGTAGGTACTGGGACCAGATGTTCTGGTTTGGTGGGTTTTCTGGTAGTGGGGGAAGGGCCACAGGAGCGGCTCCCCTAAGAAGCTGAGAAGCTCCCCCTGCCCCAAAACCCAGCCAAAGAGACATTAGAGGGACAATAGATGCACCTCAGCGATTAACATACGAAAGAACAGCTATAACACCTGAGCACAGAAGCACTTGGGGGAAGAAGAGCTGTGCTGGAGGATGAGAGCTGTGTTGGTGGTTGGTGAGGAAGAAGGGGAAGAAGGTGCCCAAGCAGAAGTTCACCTGCAACCCATGGCGACATGGCAGCTGTGCCCTTGCACTCATGGAAGAACACGGTGGAACATTCCCTGAAGGCACCAGGAAGGGTGAACTTGGCCAGTGGACTTGGATTTTGTGGCCAGTGGATTTGCTGCCAGTGGACTCTGATTGCACAGCTTTGGAAGACCCCGGTGCCAGGGGAGTTTGTTCCCGAAGCAGCCCCTGACTCTGTGGGAAGCTCAGGCTGGAGCAGCTCTGGACCTCGTAGGAAGGATTCATGGAGGAGAGGTTTGTGGAGGGCCCTCTCCAAAAGGAGGGACCCCATGGGGAAGTAGGAGAGGATTGTGAGGAATCCTTCTTCCTGAGGAGGAAGGAGCAGCAGGAGCCACCAGCCTGTGAACTGACTCTAAACCCCATCCCCTGTCCCCCTGTGCTGCTGGGGGGAAGGAGGGAGAGAAACTGGGAACAAAGTGATTTGGGCCTGGGAAGAAGGGAGGGGAGGGGGTAATGTATGTAAGCTCTGCTCTTTGTGTTGTCTGTGTCCTGTGTGTGTTTGATTAGTGTGAAATCAAATTATTATTTTTTCCCCAAGTTGAGTCTGTTTTGCCCAGGACCTTAATCAGTGAAGAAACCTCCTTGTCCTTTGTCTCAAACCATGAGCTTTGTCCTCCTCACCCCAGAGTGTGTGTGTGTGGGGGGTGGTTGAGTGAGTGGCCATGGGGCTGTTCCTTTTGTTGTTGTGTTGGGCCCAAACCATGACACCAGTGCTGTTTAACATCTTTGTCAGAGACATGAACAGCAAGTTTGCTGATGACACCAAGCTGTGTGGTGTGGCTGACACACTGGAGGGAAAGGATGCCATCCAGACGCACCTTGGCAGGCTTGATAGATGGGTTCATACCAAACTTACAAAGTTCAACAAGGCTAAGTGCAAGGTCCTGCACCTGGGTTGGGGCAATCCCAAGCACAAATACAGGTTGGGAGAAGAATGGACTGAGAACAGCCTTGAGGAGCAGGACCTGGGGGAACTGGTCGATGAAAAGCTCAACAGGAGCTAGAAATGTGTGCTTGCAGCACAGAAAGCCAGCAATGTCCTGGGCTGCATCAAAAGAAGTGTGGCCAGCAGGGCCAGGGAGGTGATTCTGCCCCTCTACTCTGCTCTTGTGAGACCCCACCTGGAGTACTGTACCCAGTTCTGGATCTCCCAACAAAAAAAGGACACTGAGCTCTTGGAGCGAGTCCAAAGGAAGGCCATGAAAATGATCTGAGGGTTGGAGCACCTCTCCTATGAAGACAGGCTGAGGGAGTTGGGGCTGTTCAGCCTGGAGAAGAGAAGACTCTGGGGAGACCTTATAGCACCTTCCAGCACCTGAAGAGGCTACAGGAAAGCTGGGGAGGGTCTTTTTACCAGGGTGTGTAGTGATAGAATGAAGGGTAATGGGTTTACGCTGAAGAGGATAGATTTAGATTAGACATTAGTAGGAAGAAATACTTTAGTGTGAGGGTGGTGAGACACTGAACAGGTTGCCCAGGGAAGCTGTGGATGCCCCAACCCTGGAAGTGCTCAAGGCCAGTTGGATGTGGCTCTGAGCAACCTGAACTAGGGCGAGGTGTCCCTACCCATACAGGCAGTTTGGAACTAGATGATCTTTAAGATCCTTTCCAACTAAAGCCATTCTATGATTCTGTAATAACACTCCTCTAGTGACAAGACAGGTAACACCTCCTCCATGAAAAGTCTATCTGTGACTGACACACTGTCTCTCAGATAGCCAAGAACTAAAAAATCCATCAGCACTTTACACAATGCCTTTAGAGCTTTACAACATCAATTACTTAATAGCAAGTAAAAGTATCCAGAAATTGGATCCCTTTATTCTGTGCTTTTATGTAACAGGTAACTCCCACTGGAGGTGGCTGTACTCACCATATTGAATGACTATGGCAGAAGTCTAAAGCAGAGATGATTTGTCTGAAGAACTTCCTGGCTTCTTTTGGAGTCAGTCTTCCCTTTTTTACAAGATAGTCAAAGAGCTCCCCACCTGACACGTGTTCTAGCACCAAATACCTAGAAAATAATAAAGGCAGGATTCTGTAAGCACATTGTCATACTAATCCCCTCACACACCCAAAGTTATATACAAACACCTCTATTTACATGTGACTGAGGACAGCATTTCTGAATAGAACAGTGGAAGTCAACCAGAATTTTAAAATCAGGAGTGATTAATATTTTTAGCTGGGTTCTACAAACTTCAGACAAGCTGCTGTTGGATTCATTGTCCAATATAGTAGCGAGAGATGATCTGGAAGCCAAAAATTACCCAGAAGACCAGGAGGGGAAGAAGAGAATAATCAAGTATAAGCTTTTACAGCAGCTCTTAAAGCTACTGAGGAGTAAGACTCCATACTCCCAAGCTTCAGGTCCCTCAACCAAGCTGACAGTTCCTTTTAAAAACAGCTATGGCAAAGCTGTACTCACATACTGTTCCATCTTGGATACCTGAGAACCAGACAAATGTCAACAAACTAGAGGGAAATCTAATAAATAAATAAATGTGAATAGTTTACATTATGAAAAAAAAATAGTACACGTGCAGATTACATTAGGGCTTCAACTTCTGCTGCTGAACAGCAGTGAGTTGTTGGAATAGCTGCTCCCCCTTGCAACTCACATGTGAAAAATGTTACACTGAGTGAATAAATGCAGAACAGAAATGTAAGTTGCAAAAGAGGAAACCATAGATCTCACATAGCACTCGTAGCAGTCATGGAGAAGAGAGTGAGAGTCAGAGAGAGGAGAGTGGCCAAGGCCAATTGTATGAGGCTCAATTAGGCCAAGTGCTGGATCCTGTATTTTGGTCATAACAACCCCAGGCAATGCTACAGGCTTGGGGCAGAGTGGCTGAAGAGCTGCCCAGCAGAAAAGGAGCTGGGGCTGCTGGTGGACTGACAGCTTAACATGAGCCAGCAGTGTGCCCAGGTGGCCAAGATGGCCAACAGCATCCTGGCCTGCATCAGGAATAGTGTGACCAGAAGGAGCAGGGAGGTGATCATGTCCCTTTACTCAGCCCTGGTGAGGCTGCACCTCGAGCACTGTGTGCAGTTCTGGGCCCCTCACTACAGGAAGGACATTGAGGGGCTGGAGTGTGTCCAGAGAAGAGCCACCAAACTGGTGAAGGGTCTAGAGAACAAGTCATATGAGGAGTGGCTGAGGGAACTGGGGATATTTACTTTTAGAGAAGAGGAGGCTGAGGGGAGACCTCATTGCCCTCTACAACTACCTGAAAGGAGGTTGTAGGGAGGTGGGCGTTGGCCTCTTCTCCCAAGTGAGTAATAACAGGACCAGAGGAAATGGCCTGAAGTTGCAGCAGGGGAGGTTTAGATTGGATATTAGAAAGAATTTCTTTACTGAAAGAGTGATCAGGCACTGCAACAGCCTGCCCAGGGAGGTGGTGGAGTCACCAATCTTGGAGGTATTCAGGAAACGTGTAGATGTAGAACTTCAGGGCATGTTCTAGTGGCCGAGGTTGTAAGGGGTTTTTTTGGTGGGTGTTATTTGGTGGAGTGTGTGGTGTTTGCGTTTATTTGGGGTCTTGTGTGTGTGTGTGTGTGTTTTTTGGGTGGTGCTCTCATTAGGGGTGTCTTGTGTGGTGTTTTGGGGGTTTTTTTGGTGATGATGGTTGAACTTGATGATTTCAGAGTCACATCTCTTTCCAACCATGACTATTTCTGTGATTCTGCGAAACTTTCTTGAAGGAAAAGACTTGCCATGGATAGACCATCTTGTTGTTGTAAATGTGGATAATGAAAGGCAGCCAAGCAGAAGAAAACTAAGTATAAAATTCTGGAAATTCTGCATAACAGTGAGAATGAAATATTTTCCCCAGGAAGTGGCTGGAAGACCATCAACTGAACTGTTTTAAAAATCAACCAGATATAACATGAACTAAGCCACAGATTTCTACTGGCAAGAGGATTGCTTGAAACCACCACAGACTTTTTCTAGCTCTGTTGTGATTCTGGGCTCTACTGCCTCCTTCCTTGTTCACCCAGCATATACTATTCTTATACAGAATGAAGAAATTATACAGTGAGATTATTTACTCAAAATCTGAAATGACAAGCATGAACAACAAGCTATTTAATTTTTTTTTAACTGAAAAATCCCTTCTGCTCTTTGGTTCTATTAGAGGGTTTAAACCCTGTAAGAGAGGCAGAAACCTGTACTGCCTAACTCCTTTGAAGTGAGTCTCAGAAGTAAATGGCAAGGGATTTGATATGAAAGGTGGTTTCTGTAAAGCAACAATGCAAGACTGAACAGGGCATTCAAACTTCGGGCATTTTGTTTGAGAGACGTCACCAGAAAATGTGCAAACAAGACTTAGGTATTTTTCCAAATGTGGTGTGTATTCTCTGTACCCTCCTCCCGACTCTGTGTTTGGTATGATTCCCACCAAGGCATTAGCCTTGAAGTTCCAAAGAGGACCTAAGCTCCTGGTCCACCATCAGCTCCTGTGTGACTTCCATGTGCCAACTCCCAGGCAGCACAAGGAGAAAGCATCTCTCAGCCTTACAGAAATGCAGGAGAGAATGCAGTAAGAGACACACATTAATATTTTTTTGCCAGTTAAGTAAGTAGTACAAAAGGACAATAAGGGTGGACAACAAAATTAAATTCTAAAGTTTAGGGAATTAAAATGGCATTTTCTGCAACTTTTACAAAATAGAAACAGTTACAAGAAATATGATATTATTGACTTTTTTTTTTTTTTTTTTCCCCTCCCATCAAAATAAGTAAAAAAGAGAAAACTCTGAACTTGAAAATCACATTTGGAGTATGTGGGTTATCTTCTCTCCAAGAAGAGATGAGTCATTACCAGACTGTCTAATGAGGACACCTTGGTAATATGGAGACCACTGTATCTGCATTACATTTTTTTGGACAAGACATTGAATCATTCAGAAAAAAGCTGATGTGCAGTAGCCATGGGCACTGAGGTGTCCACATTTTCAAGTCCCAATCTTCACTTTCCAAGCCTTGGCTAACAGGTATTTTGATAAGAGGATTTTCAGTATAATTCATTCTCCCTGTCATACTAGAGATGGATCTGGCTAACTATCCCATATGGCAGACCCAAGCCTGGCACAGAATCAATCATACAATTCTTCTTGACAGCTCCCTCTCTCAACTGTGCCCAGCAGAAGCTGGATACAGCAGTGTATCTTGCCCCCAAAATTCAAACTGATAGATGCTTTCTTTTCCTGGGAGGTATTTTACAAAGATGATTGCAGTTACAGGCATACAGAACACCCTTCACACTGGTTTCAAATGCAGAGTTTTGGAAAATTACAGACCCAGCATTTCTGTCACCCACAGCAGGAACTGCAAAGCAATTTATTTTCATCAACTTCATCTTATTAAAAATGCTCAACAAAAATGCACTGACACCTTGCATGAAAAATAAAACAAATTGAAAGACAAGGAGCATTTACAACGGTATTAATTTCTGCTTGCCACCTAGAAGCACCAGATATAATAATTGAAATGAACAGGGGAGAACATTAGAAAAAGATTTGTGCCTATGACAAATCAGGGGACACAGAGTTATAGAGTGACAATGTATTCTGATTTGACAAAACCCCCAACATGACAGGAGTGAGAAGGATGGCAAACACACTCCCCAGTGATCTAGTGCAATCAACAAGTGCTGCAGGGATCACCCCACAAATACTTCATGGTTATGTCACACTTCACCTGGGATTTCTGAGTTTGCATTTGCAGCTGGTCACCTGCCAACCTGTTCTCGCCAGTATGATGTGGGATTTTTTAGGATAGCCCCCAACAAGAGATTTTTTTATTAAACAAGGGCATAATTCTGCTCCTGCCCCCATCTCTGCAAGCCAATGTTTTGCTGGTGCATGTTTTTATAAGGCACAGTTGTAGTGCATGGTACTTCCAAACAGCCAACAAGAGGGGTTAAAAATTTCCAGGTGTTGCACCAGTTTTACTTATACACAATCCCCAGCAAATGCTAGATATATCTGTATATTTATGAATCTATCTGTGTCTCTGTGCATGTGTCTGAGTGCCTCCATAAAAGATTACACACCCTTAAATGCTAAATAGAAAAAAGCAAAAAAAAGAGTAGTAGCCCAGAGGCTGGAAAAGAAGGCTTACAGATACTACATCTTTCCCGAATCTGGCACAGAAGTGAATCCAGATTTCCTAAGTCCACATCAGCATCTAAAATCCTTCAGCTTAGCAAAGTGCTATAGGATGGCAAGTATGCAAATGCCAACTCCTGGAGGATCTAAAAGGTAAAAAACAGTCTGCAGGGCAGAAAAACATAAAGTGTTTGCCTGAGTTTCTCCTTCCCTTTTATCTTTCCCAGGAATTACAGGTTCTCATCTCACTATGGTATTACTTTTCCCATTTATTCTAGGCAAGGGAGTGAATTCTAACAATCCCAGAACAGTAGCCAGAACAAGTCTCCTATTACATTTGGAGATAAAAAGTAACTTACTGGTGCATTAAGCTTTTTTTTTTTATTTTTTTTTTTTTTAAATCCTGTCTAAGTAAGACAGCATCAGTCTTCCTACTGTAAAAACGTGGGAAACCCTGCTCTGTAAAAGCCATTGCAGGGAGGTTCAAGGAAAGGAAAGACAGCCTCTGGCTGGCAGCATGTGCAGTATCTGCTGTGATAATACAGAGAGGAGCTATATAAGGAAAAAGACTCTGTAAGAACACTCAGCTCTTACATCTTGGATGCCTGGGACACACACCAGCTCTTCTAATCCTATTTCACATGAGAGAAGCATCACAAGTATTAACCCCCTGTTCATTACTGACAGGGACCTGCAAAGCAAAGTGACTTGCCCAGGGTTACAGTCACCCAGTATAAGAGCTGGGATTAGCACCTATGGTCCCTTGTGCCTTCTACTCCATGCTGTCCCCACCACCAATTTCCTCTCTGTTTGCTAGGACACCAGAAAAGCAAGAAAACAACAGCTTCTGCCACTCTAATATGAAGCCAAGTGAATGTGGTGTTAAAAATAAATGCTTGA